GGGGGATTACATTTTATTTCATATTTATATTTACCGCATACATAAGTTCTAAACTAAGTTATGGGAAAATATTATTTTTATCCCCAAAATAAAATAATGCATTATTTTATGGTAAAATTATTGTTTTCTTAATTCCAAAACCTCGCGCATACAACATTATTTTTGTCGAACTTACTTGCTTGCTTAATTTTCAGATAGAAGTAAGACGAATCAAAAGCCCGTTTGGCCATGAAATTTTTTAATTTTTCGAAATTAGTGTTTGGCCATAAAATTTTCAATTCTCATTTGAAGATGAAGTTTGGAATTTTTCAAAAATTTTAAAAACTCCAAAAAGTTATTTTTCAAAATTTTTACTCAGATCAATCACAAAAATTCGAAAAAAATTCATGCCCAAACACTATACTAATTTTCAAATAAATACCATTTTGCTCTTAATCTTTTTTTCGGAAATTTTACAATTCTTATGTCCAAACGCCGAGTTAATAAACAACATTTGTTTTTAGAAGTTGATTGATTGAACCGGTAAAACCGGCTATAATTTTGTAACGATGAAAAAAAGTAAAAATAAAGATTTAACCTGCGACGAATAAAACCCTCTCCTCTTCCATCTGCTAGGAATCTTCAAGCTTTTGCTGTTCCAATCCTCTTAATCCGCCATTATATACTTGAAAATTTGGTTAATTGTTTCTGCTCTATAGGAACAGCGTATCACACTATTTTGGAAAATCGCCATTTTTGGAAACTCTGAGGACCGTCCATCATTGGAGGAGGTCAAGATCAAACGCGACTATGAGCATTTCACCTTCACTGTTTAGTTCTTCTGGTTCCCTTTTTTCCGTTCTCACACTTGTTCTAACATTCATTCATGGGAACACGTAAGCGACTCTATTGCTTATGTCATCATTATACCTAATATTCAAAATTTTGGTGCAATTTACATCACAATGTTGCTGATTTGTGGTTTATTTTTGGAAATAGATCAGCTTCTTTTAATAATAATTAGTTTTGCAATATATTATTTGATTTAACTTATGTAGGGTGACAATATATATAAAAATTTGACACAATCGGTGTAATTTAATTGGTTGAAGACATATGCCAGGTTAAAAATCCATCCTCATTCCTCACTATGAATAGTTACATATAAGTTATAATGATTTAAGTTGCAGTGTTAATAGTTTGTATACTTTTTCCAAGTTACCACTCAATGCTGATTATACAGAGTTACATGCAATTGCTATTTAAGTGACTTGATTGTGTAGATGTTTCCTATTACCATCCGTTGCATTCAACTTAAACTCGGGCTATAATTAGCTTATAAATAACGTGATTGAGTACGTATGATTTATGCCAACACTGTGTAAAAGTTAAACTTCATAATGTTATAGGATGGATGTAAAGGTTTTGCAAGTTGGACAGGAGCTAATGAAGGAAACTCTTCCATTCCAGTCCGGATCTAGACTATATGAACTGCAAGGGTTGAATTCGAATAAGTGGTATGAAGTGAAGATCTCATATCCTGCTTCTGTATGTACATTTGCATTCTTGCCTACTAGTTTTGTATACCCTATTGGTATTTAAAGCTTAAACCTTTTGCTGTTGAATGTATAACAGATACCAGCGACTTTTACTTTACAACTAAGTCAAGGAAGTTCGGGGCTAAATGGTGGTAGGAAGTTATTGAACACTGAGAAGATTATTTTTCAGGCTGACAGTATTCAATTGCTTGGTGACAAGGTTTGGTTATGTTAGCATGATATAGAGTGATTTGTTGTTCTTCTCATTTTTACGGCGGTGAAGGCACTGATAATGGAATTTGGCACAGGGTGGAACATCTGTCCTGGTAAATGTGGAGCCTGAGGGAATTGTTGCAATACCTGGGGTAAAGGAGAGGAAGTACGTAATATATAATATAGGTAAATTTCCCCCCTTAATTTAGATAGGTCAAAGTTCCATTCAACATATTTAATCATCTTCTCACATGCCACTATGATAATTGTTCACTAAAGTTGTCATCACTTATAAGCGAATTGGAAATGCTAAATTTTGAAACGTACCTTAACCTCCTTTTTTTTCCCACAAAAAAAGTGGGAAAGAAGCAAGACCACTATACCTATGACTTGTGTTTTTGAGTGCCATAGCAAAATAAAAAGGAAAGGGAAATGCAATAATTGAAGGCTACCTGTTAATAAATGAAAATCACAAAGTCAAAGGCATATTGACATAACTCTCTTTGATCTAGGAAGCGCGTTTATGTGAAATAGAAAGGATAAAGCATGCTATTGAAATTTATTTAGGCTATGAATCAGCTATATCAATATACGGGGACAACAATAGCAACTATGCCTCTATCCCAAGCAAGTTTTTGGGTCGGCTTTATTAATCTTCACTGCCCATATCGTTCCATTTAAGCCTGAGTCAATATACCAAGTTGTCATATACAACTTATATTATCTGTACCAAGTGTCAAGTGGAACCCCTAAAAGATTAAAGGAATCCCTAAAAGCTGTTGCAAAAGACTGTCAATGGGAAGAACGTAGAGCATGCAAATTCTCTTGCAATGGTCTGGTGATTTATTTATTACTCCTATTAGAAGAAGCTAGAATTTTGATAGGTGTTATACAGATTTGCATTGTTTCTTGTCACTTGAAGAAGAGAAAAAAAGGTAATTTTGTGTGAGGAATATATAATATGGGAAAAGACAAAGGAAAATGCTGTGCATGTTTAAGTCCTCAACTGGAGATGCTATTATTATCTAGTTTAGTGGAGTTTCTATGGTATAGTATGAGAGTTTATTATGACAATGAGAATATATGAGCCATGATCTACAGAACTCTGAGAACTGCTCTAGCCAGTGGCTATTGCACCATTGGCAGGCAGCAAACTCCTTTCGACAGGTGTGTTGGTCTTGGGAAGTTAAATTTTAGTAGATATTTTATTATGCTCTCTTCGGAAGGGAGGATGGCAAGATAAAGTTTAGTATGGATGTATATAGTTGGCTCAACTTAGCATCTGTAAAGAGTCCCCTAGTAATTGGATTTTGTCAGCTCCCTAGCCTTAGCTTAGCTTTCTTCTGTAGTGGAGCTGATTTTATTATTATGTACTCTCACTCTTTTGTATTATTTGCATCTTCTTAGTACCTTCAATAAATTTCCCTTCATTTAAAAGAAAATAGTATGGATGATTTTAAAGTTGATCACTTAAAATCCTATTATAACAAATTACACCTCACACATATTTCAACTTAAGATGCCTCAAAACAGTTATCTACTAGTGGAGTCATAGCAATGTAGATACTTCTAATCTGGAGGAGAACAGCAGCAATACAGTTTGATGGAGGAGAAACAATAGAAAAAGCTAAATACAGTTTGATGTTTGTTAACCACATAGTTTTGCATAGCCAAGGTGTTTTAAAGTTTAGAGCTTTAGTCTTGTTGGCAGATATCTATCTTCTGCTTGTGACCTATTTGTCCAAGATTAACAAGGGCAATAAAGAAGTCACTTACGCTTCTGGCAGGAGACAAGATTGACATTTAAAGATACAGTTAGCTATTATAAGCAGAAATAAGGTTTGTGGGTTCTTAACTAAATTCTGAAGGAAAGCTTGAAATAGAACTAAAGAAAGCAACGGGCGATCCAATAGAGTCGATGCTAAAAGATCATAGGACTCTAGTTCTCCTTGTCACTTTCCTTATGGTAGTTGCTTAATCCAAATAACTTTTATGCACAGAGTTACTTACCTCGGGTATATTGTTTACTCATAGGAATCTTTCGATGCCTAATCACCTATTCTAAGTCTTCACTATGTAAGGTAAGCAAATATATTTCTATCATGCTCACAAATCAATTCCATAATGCTTAGGTTCATGAACTTACACTATTCAATCCAAAGCAATCCTAGATATCCTCTTTCGAGTTCAACCTAAGTTTCTTAGATGGTGCCTGATTGTTGGCCCGGCAATCAGACAAAAAATAACTCTATAAAAGCATAAACAATTAACTAAAGGCAGACTCAAAGCCGGCTATCTAACTTAAGCAATGTCTTACTAATATCATGTGTTTTTCTTTGACAGTATGTGATGAGCTACTCTTTGGCATCCCTCACCAAGCATGGTATGTTGTAGTGTTGGTGGTACTATGCTTGGCACTGGCACTTGTAATCCCGTCTTTTCTTCCGCCATATCTTCTACCAAAGAATCAAGGGCTAAATGCAGCTGGTCGTGGTATTTCGAAGGACTCTTAACCATGTTCTGGTATTTGGCACCAGTAGCCAATGGGTAGTGGGTCTTGAAGCTCAAATTATTAGAAAAATTTTCTAACCTGTGTAAGCTAGTTTTGTTAATTGCAAATGATTTAGTGAGTAACCTGTGTAAGCTAGATTTGTTACTCAATGCAATCCTTCACCCCCTCTCTCTCTCTCACTTTATGTTCTATTTTTCCTTCTCTTGGCTGTAAACATGGAGGTTGTTTTGTTCTATCATTTACTTGCTTGAACAAAGTTTCTACTTGCAAAGAATAGCCCCTTGTTATTAGCTGAAAGGAGTTAACCTTGTTTCAGAATGAGGGGAGGCATCAAGATACATGTGATGTGCCTCACTCCTTTCTCATTGATGTCTTTCTTTAACTAGAACCAGGAATGTTTTTTTATTTTATATTATTTTGAAAAATAATACTACCTTATTTCCATTGGAGTTAATTTCTTCTTTATTTCCCTGGTTTGCTTCCTATTTGGCATTTCTTCCATGTCTTTTTTTATGTAGTAGAATAATAATGTGTTTGTGTTTTAGTTTTGTTTTAACTATTATTTTGGTACGGAAGAACTGGAGAGAAGCATTATAAGTTACTTTCACTTTCTCCATCTTTTCCTTCTCCTTGCCAAATGCTTGATCTTGAATGCTCATAAAACCAAAGGCTCATGCCAATCTGTCCCCCTTCCCCCCTCACACATACCACCATCCCCTGCACACTTTATCTACACCCCCTCATATCTCACACCACCCAAGAAGATGATGCCAACTGTTCTTCCATGTGTCCTATGGGTCCCACTTTATCACAAAAACACTATATAATGCAGATCTCTCCTAATCCTTTACATTCATTCACAATTCCCTTTAAAGATATCACAACAACTCCTTTTAGAAATTTTAGTCATGTCTGATCAGCAGAAAGAACTGCATAGATCAACTCCAAGTTATGAATCCTTGAGGTTCATGGCAGCAGGAACACTTGGTGCTGTTTTGTTAGGCTTGTCCAGTCTGACCTTTGCGGGGACAGTTATATTTCTGATCCTTGTCACCCCATTCCTTATCATGGCCAGCCCAATTCTTGTCCCGGCTGTGATAATTCATGCCCTGATCAGCGCCGGTTTCTTGTTCTCTGGCGGGTCTGGCACAGGGGCATTAGCTGCGATGTTCTGGATGTATAGAAACGTCGGTGGGAAAAACCTGTTTGGGGCAGACCAACTTGATTTCGCTAGGATGAGGATTGCAAGCAAAGCTTGGGTTATGAAGGAAAGAGCTAAAGAGGGTGGACAATCTGTGCAGAACAAGGCTCAAGAGACTACTCAAGCCTAATAATATGGAGTGGGAATATAAGTTATCAAGTGCAATTTGTGTTAACTTATCTTAGACTTTCTGATTATCCTAATAAAGGGGGGAAAATAAAAAAGAAAAGAGGGGAGGGATGGGAGAGTTGTCTGTCTTATTCCTACTGATCTTGGCAGTCACAAATAAGTTTGTATTTTGCTCCTTTCTGATAAATGAATCAAAATAATGACCTTTTATTCTCTAAATCTGATGAGTAAATGATGTGTTCAGTATGTTAAATCTTGGATTAGCCTTTCGAACCGGTTAAAAACTAAACAAAAAGTTGCTCGTCAGTATTTAAGAAAATTTAACATAATCATGGCAGTAATAAGTAATTAACAAAATGGCATCTAAGTAATTAATAAAAATGGCACCTAATTAATGTCATTCCTTAAGTGAACCGTAACCTTTTTTGCTTATTTGTAGGAACTAATTTATTATTTATCCGTAAATCCTCCACCATTCCAGTTGTTTTTATTTATTTGTAGGGATTTCTCTTTTAACATTCATCTTTCTTTTCTTCTATTTAGACTCTCTTATTTTCCTTCCTTTCGACACTTTACAAAAATTATACATATTCATTCAAGATTGTAGGAGTCAAGCCACTAACACACTAACTCTCCTATTTTCTTTATCTTTCTTTTAATTTTGTTTTTAGGTGAATTAAATTAATATAATATTTACGTAATATTCACAATATAGTTTACATTATATTCTTTTATACAAATATATATTGATGGAACCTGAAGAGTAATGGTGAAATATTTTGATGAAATATTTACATTATATCCACGATATAATTTCAGTTAATAATAATTTATTTTATTGAAGGAATATTAAAATTATATAAAACTTTTACAATATAATATATTATAAATATATTAAATGTATATTNAACGGAGGGCCACGATTAATTGGTCTAACATTATTTCAAAACGACGTAGTTTCTCCCCTATACTACGTCGTTTTAAGAGCTTTTGGACCGGGCAGTTGGGCTAGTTTTGGACAGGTTTCAAGTGTGCAAATTTTGGGCTTTGATTTGGGCTGGGGTGAATTTAGCCCAAATTCCTTTTTTTTGATTTTGTTTTCTTGCTTTTGTATTCTATTTATTTATTTATTTATTTTGGTATTTTAGTATTTATTTATTTTTTCTGGTTTTATAAAAATGCTAGAACAAAACAAAGACTCAATTAAGCTATTTAAACTTCCTAAAATTACTTAAAAAACTCTATTTAGAAATAAAACGCAACAATTAACAATTAAGAGCGCAACAGCCTATTTTTTGCAAGTTTTCTTTAAACTTTATTCTAAATCTAATTAATACCTAATTAATACTAAATTTGTAAAAATAAAAATCCCTAAATGCATGTGCGTATTTTCCTGTATTTTCATATTAAAATGCAACCAATTAACACCAAAATTCGCACAAAAATTCACAAAAATTGTAAAATAATAAAGAAATCAATTATTTGAAACTTTTGGAATTAATTTGCTTAGGGCAAAAATTACGTGCTCACAACCTCTAGAAGGAGGTTTGAGATGATATAAGAAAATAATGTCATTATTATGGCATGAATGGTCATTGGTCACGTACCTATAGTACGCCAAAATATTTTGGCAATGTGATTATTAAATGACAACAATAATGCAAGAAACATATCTTGCATATAATTTTGACCATGACCATAATGGTATAACTTTCTCCTTAAAAGAGATATTCACCATATGGATGTTGATGAATATGTGGTACTATAAAATTAATTGAGAGCTCTGGAAGAGCCAATTATTAATATTCTGGAGGAATAAAATTGATTATCAATAAGGCATTGTGTTGTAGTAAGTCTCAAAGAAACTTAATTGAGTTTCTAAAGTATTTGCTAAAGCGGTTGGTCATACTAAGACTATAAATAAAGGAAAGATTTAATATCTTCTATTACTACGACTTGTAACAGAGTAATATGTATGTGAAAAATTACCCGTTTTATTCTCCAGTTTATACAACACAAACAAAAGAATGCCACAATAAAGAGAAGTTTATTGATATAAAAACCCATATCATAATAAACTTGGAGTTTATTGATAATTGCACACGTCATGGTGTAAATCTGAAGTTTATCAATATTGATAATTTATTCAGTTGGCATAATTGGTTTACCCATATCAATGGGCAAAAACAAAAGAGAATTCACATGGGTAAATATTAAAGAACTAGAAAGTTCTTTACGAATTCTCTTACATTATTTGTTCTCATTAATTAATATACCAACTAAAATTGGGATTGAATCCCATGAATGCTGGAAATATCAAAGGTGAATATGCACCCATTCACCTGGCATGTATACCACATAAGATGCATCTATGAGATGGTTACATGTGCGATTATTAATAATCCGCAACATGGTATTTTGCGAGGTAACTTGCTCAACAATTTAATTTCGAGCATAATTTCCAGATTTTCTATTCAAGAAGTTCATCTTGATAAGTTCGTTTACATCACAGTTGGTTTACCAAAATAATTTATTAAGTGCCTCTACTTAATAGCTAAACAATTGCTTATGAGAACAAAGTTATCTATATCAGTTTGATATACGTTATATACCAAAGTATATTATTTTCTCCCCTCACAAGTGGTTCAGGGTCAGGAACCAAATAATTTCATCTTATTATTGTTGATGTGCGGTGTATATTTGGTTAAAACCATAACACACAAAGGTGGATTCTCAAAGTTGAGGTAACAAGTTAATTTTTATAACGTGAGGGGGAGACATGATAAACAGTTGAGAAAACATTACGTGGAATGAATTATCATTTGTACATCTAGATCCTCGAATAAGATAATATGAACTTGAAGTTCATAAAAGGATAATTCATTTGCAATATATTGCAAAGCATGTCAGACGCATTTGCTGGCCCAAAGAATGTAACTATATTCTCATTGAAAATGCTCCTATTAAGTCCTAGAAGGACAAAGTCTATGGTATGCTTGAAGCGCATAGACAAATCGGTTTCAAATAAAAATTCTTGATAAAGAAGATGAGCAAATGATCAAAATGATCATAATAAAGGAGGCAAGTGATCTAGAAGATCACCTGACATAACACTTCATAAAATCTCATGAGAGATTCAGGTACCTGAATATATGAATGAAGAGATCTCTATGTTATGTCTATATGAAAAAAATAATGGAACCGATATAAAATGTTTGTTGGCGACATCTATCATAGCGCTAAGTATAGATGAAGACCTCAAGTATGTCAAATACAGACACAAAAATATTGGCCAAATAGAAGAGACACAATTCAAATAGAATTGGTTTCATATGAAAGACATGTAGTTTTGAACGTGTAGTTCAAATACTTGAAAGTGTAAAGTCAATGATATGTGCAATCAGTTTTCGATATCTTATTTGTCTAGCATGACATGAAAACTTAATAATCATCTAATTAAAGTCTATTATATGGCTTATATGACTTAACTTATATGACAATCCATGAAGGATTTAAGTTGCTTGAAGCATATACAATTCTTGATCTTGAAGTACCACTTTCTCAGTGCAATTTGTGCACAAATGTATGTTGTTATAACTATAGGCATGATAATATGATAGCAAGAGTTTTCACCTCTATGTGAAGATATTGAACTGACGATTCCAACAAGATCATATGAAGACAATACATCTATTAGGGATGATGATTTCAAGGTGAAACAAATTCGTTGAAGTTAATATGGCTGATATTGTTTATCAAATATCTACCAACGATATTTTGAAGATAGTGCACAAGATTGGAATGTGAAGGCTCAAGGATGTGAATTGATGCTCTCGTTAGGGGGAGTTAATACGCGTTGTACTCTTTTTTCCTTACAAGGTTTTGTCCCACTGGGTTTTCCTTGCAAGGTTTTTAACGAAGCAACCAAAAGGCGTATCGATAGATATGTGTACTCTTTTTCCTTTACTAGAATTTTTTTCCCACTGGGTTTTATTTTAGTTAAGGTTTTAACGAGACACATTATCTGTTGAATAGACATTCAAGGGGGAGTGTTATAAATAGAATTCTATTTTAGGTGAGTGTCTATATTTTAGAGAGATTCTAGGGTTTGTTACTTGGTGGCTAAGTCATTTTTTCCCTATAAATAGAGGGGTTCTATTCCATTGTAATTGATCCAATATCAATAAGAATTCTCTCTTTCTACTTTTCTCTGCAATACTCTTGTTCTTCATTTATTGTTTATAACACTTTCATTATGTTTTATTATTTGTTTTGGGTAGGTCTAAAAGATTAAAATTCCGTAAGTGGTGGAAAACCAGAAAAAGAGTCATAAAACTAATTTGTCAAATAAAAAATGGATTAAGAACTTGAAGTTTAATCTGTTGTATTTGGAAAAAGGAGTTTTGTCTTTTTTCTTATTTTTTTTATAGGAAAAATGAACGGGTAAGATGTAAGAAAGGAAAAAGAAATAGAAGAAAAAGGAAAATGTAATTGAAAAGGGAGGGAAAAATTAGAGAAAATATTTGTAGAATTTGATTTCGCTTTTTTTGTGGATATATTTGATTTTACCTTCTTTTTTTTTAATTTTTTTCATTCGGTGTTGTTATTATCTTTATATTGGGGAGGTCTAGAAGACTAGAAACACTTAAGTGATGGAAAATTAGAAAGAGGTTTTAAAACTAATTTGTTAGATAAAAGATGGATTAAATTTTAATTTATTGGGTTCGAAAACTTATGAATCTTTAACATATTCGAATATTAGTATAGGGATTGTTTTGTATGTCGAATAAAGTTTTTAACAACCACGCGAAGCGCGGGCAAATTTACTAGTGAACTAAAAAATTTAACCATGTTTTGTCTGAAGTTTTAGCAAATGAACTAAAAAACTTAAGCATGTTTAGTTTGAAGTTTTAGCAAATGAACTAACACTTAAGTATGTTTAGACTAAAGTTTCGGACAAAACTCATGACAAAACTGTAGACTGCAGGATATCCCATGCTAATGTATACAGAACATAGGCTTGCTTTGAGCACTCTAATTTCTTCAAAGTAACAGCGCCGGAGGCACGACCCGGCCAAGCATACTAGTCGTGGACCAAGCCATCGCATGGAGAGGCGAGGACGACCTGGGACACAACTGCAACTTTTGGTTCACCCCGCACGTCGAACGTGAGGGGCGAAAGGCAACCGATTGTGCTTGATAATGCCTTGGCATTAGCGACGTTTCTTTTTTATCCTTCGATGTCGGCTCTTCCTATCATTGTGAAGCAGAATTCACCAAGTGTTGGATTGTTCACCCACCAATAGGGAACGTGAGCTAGGGGGATCCCTCCAATAGCTTCCTTACGGGTTTACTCGCCCGTTGACTCGCACACATGTCAAACTCCTTGGTTCGTGTTTCAAGACGGGTCGAATGGGGAGCCCAAAGGCCAGTGTCCGGAGCGCGCAGATACAGAAGCACGCAGCAAACCGCCCACGTTACCGCGATCCGAACATTTCACCGGATCATTCAATCGGTAGGAGCGATGGGTGACAGAGAATTAGGGTTCGATTCCGGGGAGGGAGCCTGAGAAACGGCTACCACATCCAAGGAAGGCAGCAGGCGCGTAAATTACCCAATCCTGACACGGGGAGGTGTCGATTGCCATCGGTTGTTGCGGGCAACATCGGGAGGCGACATTGCTAGTGGCGGCTGATGGATTTTGGCAACGAAACGGCGAAGCATCGTGCAAGTAGCGCCACAAGGTGCACAACCAATGGCAATCGACATGTACTGAGCTTAGCCCCATGCGCATGGCACCTTAAGGCGCTACTTGCACGACGCTCCGCCATTCGTTGCCAAAAGCCATCAGCCGCCATGAGCGACGTCAAAGAGTGCTTGAAATTGTCGGGAGGGAAGCGGATAAGGGCCGGCGATGCGCCCCGGTCGGATGTGGAATGGTGCTGAGCTGGTCCGCCAATCGACTCGGGACCATCAGCTGCCATAAGTGATGCCAGACACAAGCCACAACAACCTATGGCAATCGGCAATCGGCAATCTACTGAGAAGTTTTGGCTTTGCGACCATACTCCCCCCGGAACCCAAAAACTTTGATTTCTCATAAGGTGCCGGCGGAGTCCTAAAAGCAACATCCGCCGCCGATTGCCATCGGTTGTTGGCTGTTGTGTCTTGCATCGCTCGTGGCAGCTGATGGCTTTTGGCAAAAGAACGACGGAGCGTCGTGCAAGTAGCGCGGAAAGGTGCCATGCACACGGGGCGAAGCTCAGTACATTGCTGATTGCCATCGGTTGTTGGGCGCAACGCCCTCGACCTATTCTCAAACTTTAAATAGGTAGGACTGTGTGACTGCTTTGTTGAGCCGCGCCACGAAATCAAGAGCTCTAAGTGGGCCATTTTTGGTAAGCAGAACTGGCGATACGGGATGAACCAGAAGCCGGGTTACGGTGCCAAACTGCGCGCTAACCTAGATCCCACAAAGGGCACTATGTTTGGACTGGTCAGTTTTCCCGTGTTGAGTCAATTAAGCCGCAGACTCCACTCCTGGTGGTGTCCTTCCGTCAATTCCTGCGCTACTTGCACGACGCTCCGCCGTTCGTTGCCAAAAGCCATCAGCTGCCACGAGCGATGCCAGGCACAACCCACAACAACCGATGGCAATCGGCAATGACTAATTAGATGACGAGGCATTTGGCTACCTTAAGAGAGTCATAGTTACTCCCGCCGTTTACCCACGCTTGGTTGAATTTCTTCACTTTGACATTCAGAACACTGGGAAGAAATCACATTGCGTAAACAACCGCAGGGACCACCATTAATCATGAGGCACCTCCATTGTCACAACCACCATAAGTGATTCTGATTTCAAACCACTGCCGCCAGCATACATTAGCATGAAGTTTTAGCTTCAATGTGAAACAACTTCATGCTACATTAGCATGAAGTTTTAGCTTCAACATGAAACAACGTCATGCAAGTGTGGTTCTGAAGATGAATCTGGATAAGTTTCTAATTTTTTGATAAAGCTACTGAGAGGCGAGGAGGAGATCTTTTTTCACGAATGAGGTTACAGATCACGCGATTAATGCGTGATGCAGGTTTTATATCTTTTGTCAGGGGTGTAATTGTCATATTAATACGGATTTTTTGTCAGTTGGCTACCAAATCCCCTCCAAAAAATGACTCGTGATATTTATGAAGTTGAATAATTTTGGGATATTATCACTTTTAGCCCGCGCCAGAAACTATTTACATCTGGTAGCCGAAAAAGTGTATAATTTTTGTATATAACATACAAAATGTATATATATACAAAAAATATATAAATTTTATATATTTTTTTGGCTGTTATTTTTACCGCGGCTGTACAGTGTCATTTTTCCAATAATTTGTGCTACAAAAATAGTTTAATGATTTGGTGCAATAAAGTAAAAGTTGAGTATACATTTGTGGAAATTACGTAGTTACACAGTTTACTTTGAATTGTGTCCAAATTGACCTATTCAAGAATTTATTTCCAGCCTAGTTCATCCAAGTTTGTTCTTAGTCGAATGAATTAAAGTTTCTAAAGTTGGGATTCGTTCAAAGGGATTAGCAAGTGATATTCTTATATGGTCACTAACAACAAAAGGTTTTTTCACTACTAAAACTTGCTACAACCTAATTGACCCCTTTCAAATAACCAACTGATTATAAATGGATTTGGGATCTAAGTTGTCCTAATAAGATAAAATTCTTCTTATGGCAATGTCTACACAATAGGATACCATGCAAAAAATACCTAGCTAATATGGGTATTAACATAGACTCTATATGCCTTATTTGCAAAAGAAATGAAGAAGAATCCATCACCCATATTTTCTTTAGTGGCAAAACTTTTATAAACCAAAAAGCAACCACTGGCTTCTTCAATTAAAAGATTTTGACTGCCTACTAAAACGACACAAGTATATTAATTGGGAGTCTTTCTTTCCATTTGCCATCTGGTATATCTGGTTAAATAGGAATAGCAATAACCAAAATAACACTGATACTCCTATTAACATAGACCTAATAAATCAAAAGGCAACCGAATTCAAACTTCTTACTGAAAAAAGCCACAACCCTCTAAAGAAGAACCCCATCCCCGAAAGGATGGTTCAAGTTAAATATAGATGCAAGCTTTAAGAACAACAACCAAAAAAGTGGTATGGGAGGTGTATTCAGAAATACAAAAGGAAGTTGGGTGGTAGGTTTTGCAAAATCTATTCATGCACACTAGAAGCAGAAATCAAGGCACTCCTAAAGGGGCTTCGGATAGCGCAAGAATGGGGAATGTTCCCACTTGAAATAGAAACAGACTCCACTGAGGTAATTCATTCTATACAACAAGGCAACAGATTATATGATGATATTGTTAATGATTTCAGATTGTTAATGCACCAGGAGAAGGAAGTGGTCCTCCGGCACGTCTTCCGGCAAGGGAATGTACACATAAATTGGCAAAGGAGGCTATTGCTCAAACAAAGGGGAAGAAACATTTTGTGCAACCTCCATCATATGTTGAATCTTTTGTAAGGGATGAACAAAAAGAACAATATATTTTTGTTTAAGTACCTGACTTATGATGCTTGTAATGTATTAGCAAGACTAGATAATCAATGTGTCCTAAGTGACATAAGGTATGAATATGATGTACTAAACATCATATAATTTTTTAATATAAATATTTCCTATTTGCTCAAAAAAAAATTAAAGTTATATGAACTAAATTTGACCGGCTTCAAGTGACCGTGGGGATAGAGGACTAGACTCTCTAGGATAACACAAGAGGATTTTGGTCCACTACATGTCCTTATCTAACATTATCTACAAGTACAAATATCTTATCTTATATCATCAAAAATAGAAACAGCAAGAGAAACAAGAAATCAAAATATCCAATCTAAGCTCAAGAGTAAAAATAAAAAAATAAAATAAAGCACAAGAATGGATGCTATTCAACAAGTAGGATTTCCAGTTCTAGGAATTATAGCAGCAGCAGCTGTTACATTTTATGTAGTCAGCTTTTCAGAGATTAGAGAGGTATACATTTTTTACAAATTTTCTTCCTTATTGAACTCTATAACTTACTGAAAATACTTTGTGTTTATTAATTTTTCAACTATTTTGGGGAAGTGTAGAAATCTTTTAGAGATTTTGAAGATGCTGAAGAATCTGAAAGTGGAGGATTCAAATATGTTAGCTCTAGAGAAAGGAGAGCTAGAAGAAAAGCTGATAAACAAAAACCCAATAAATCTTGATTCTATGTACTCCATTCATATATTATCTAATTTCTAGCTATTGCATTGCCTCCCATACACTTAAATTTTTATGTTCCTTTAACCAATTTGTAAGGTTTGTATGAATATCTTGTTTGGTTTGGTATTTGTTTTAGTCACTGGAATTACCCTGCTGGATGTGAATTTTGGCTAATTAATCTCTCTAGCTATAGTAAATCATTTGAATTTTCCTGTAATGCATGTAACCAAGTGCAGTCCGGTGCACTAGCTCCCGCTATATGCGGAGTCCGGGGAAGGGCCGAACCACAAAGGTCTATTATACGTAACTTTACCCTGCATTTCTGCAAGAGACTGTTATGGTTCAAAGTCGTGACCTACTAGTCATATGACAACAACTTTACCAGTTACACTAAGGCTCCACTTCATACTGCATGAAACAAAGATTGCACGTAAAAAACCAAAATCTTGATTGCCATAATGATAATCAATCTAGTTTAAGTGTACGAGTTGCAAACTGCGCCAAGTTTAGTATGGATTTTATGTATTTTCTATTGGGTGTGTGAACAAAGCCCCATGTTGGTAGCTAAAAATATTGGCAACCTACATATATATATATATATAAGGTGTATGAATCTATTAATAGTATGAGGCCTTTTAGGGAAATCCGTACGGGCTTGGCCCAGAGCGAAAAATATCACACCATATTAAGAGTATCTTTGAACCGTTTTAGTCCAACAACCGGTATCAGAGCCCAGGTTTAGCAGGACGAGCATGACGATGACAAAGTGATGGTGTGGGGCTTGGCCCAAAGTGGACAATATCATTGGACCATTTTAGCTTAACATTTTCCTGGTAGACAAGCCATCTTTATTAGAATTTGGAGCAGAAAGTTGCAGAATACACTACTACTAGCAAAATAGCTACAGAAAGTCAGATGAGTGCAACTTGAAAATGTGAACTATCTGGCTTTATTTGACAAAGCGTAGACAGTTAAAAGCACAGAGATAAAGAAAATTTTGATGTAGATTGAAGATCAGACTAAAACAAGTCTAACTATGATAAATCCTCTAAATAGATACACAAGATTTCCCAGCTATTCTAAGATACGAGCCTACTTAATTGATTTATTTACATTAGACATCTAATTAGAGTGGCTAATAGACTTTGATTTCAATTGGACTTGAATTTTCCCCCCTCTTTTTCAACTTCTTTTCCATCAGCTTTTACTTGTTCTGGGACTTGAGTTCTTCAACTCTCTTTTCAGTATCCTTAAGTGCTTTCCCATATTTGACTATCAACTGCAAAAACAAGAATGATTTTAATCGGTTTTTAGATATCAAGAAACTGCTTAAAATCTTCAAAAAATTGAGAAAAAATCCGAAGAAACGAACATTCAAATACAAATGTGATGCCAAGTTCAGGGGCTTATGCACCCTATCTCAAGTGGCGTCATGTGACACCGCTTCACCAAAATATTTCGTAAATATGTATGTATAAATAATAAGAAAAATGAAAATATTGGGTATATAATACACATAAAAAATGACACCGCTTGTCGTTGTAGTGATTTATTTATTTGTTCACTTCTACAAATGTTGACACCGCTTACTCGCCAAGTAGTTGGAATATTTCAAACAACTAAAGAGTTAACCGTTTTTAGGAACATACCTCATCAATTTCTTCTAAACTCAAAATATATGGAGGAGACATCATTATGTTATCACCAGCAACACGTACCAACATCCCGTGCTTCTCACACTGTGCTCCAAAATATGCACCAATACCTGAGGAAAGAAAGAACAATTTGTTAAACTGAGCCTAGAGAGTCTCAGATTAAGACGAATTAAAGAGCGAACGCATACCCCATTCAGGAGGAAAAGGATCATTAGGAGATTTGTTATCTGTAAACTCTGTACCATGTAGCAAGCCAGTTCCCCTTATCTGAAAAACAAAACAAAACAAATTTAAGAACGTATAAAATAAACCGGATGTAATTAAGGCGTTTTAGCTGGCTTCTACCGTGATAATTACTATACCTCCCCGATTATGGGACTATCAGAAAATGCTTTCAAACCTTCTTGGAACTTTGGTGATATTCTGTTTACTTGCTCAATAATATTTCTTTCCCTGAAAATAATTCAGACTCTTTTCAGTACTTACGCAGTAGGTAAGCACAACATGCAAGATAGAAAACTATTGTTTTTGACATCATTAAGCAGTGGGCAGCCGGGTGCACTAAGCTCCCGCATGCGCGGGGCCGTGGAAGGGCCGGACTACAAAGTTCTATTGTACACAGTCTTACCCCGCATTTCTACAAGAGGCTGTTTCTACGACTCGAAACATCATTAACCAGTGATTGTTAAAAGTAAATTAGAGGGGAAAAAATTAAAACATATTTTCAGTCCATACTAGAAGGAGAAAAGATTGCATACTTGTAGATCTTTAGTGTTTCCAAGGCAACCGCACACGAGACAGGGTGTCCGGAGTAAGTAAATCCATGTGAAAAAGTACCTAGTTATAGAGAGAAAAATGAGAGTGTTATGAATTATTAGGTTACCAAGAAGAGAGGATATTATATTCTATCGAATGGACAATATGCTCACCGAGTTTGTTGCTTTGAGATACTATGACATCAGAAACTTCAGGGCTTACAAGGACTGCACCGATTGGCATATATCCAGAAGAAAGTGCCTGAAAGAAGAGTTAAAGAAAGACAAACTGAGAATCCAGATATAAGTTGTAATTTGCATAGATTGGATATAGTTAAAAAATCTACCTTTGCTACAGAGACAAGATCAGGTTTAATGTTGTACTTTTCACAGCCAAACATTGTCCCGAGCCTTCCAAATCCACATATGACCTCATCCGCAATGAAAAGAATGTCATACTTCTTGACTACAGCTTGGATCTGAAAATCAGTAGGATGAAGTATTGTTTCAGCTAGTTATATATAAACATAATACCTAGAAAGACAATGCTTAAAACAATTAACTATCAAAATATACAAACAAAACAGGAATGGTAGTTGAAAGGTGTGTAATAGCAGTAAGTTATTGCAAAGACTATTATCTTGAGGAACCCCACGAATTCCTAATGAAATATAAAAGAAAAGGAGTTGGGGGCCGGTGTTGCCTCATTCTAAAGCATCACGTAAGGAAAAACACTCGTTGTTCTTTTATTCGGCAATGTAGCAGCTATCTTGTGAAGGAAAAACTGACCTTATCGAAATAGGTTGCCGGAGGAGGTATGACACCTCCTGCCCCCATAACTGGTTCGGCAATGAAAGCAGCTATCTATAGGTGAAACGAGTAAATTAATCAGCATCCATTCACCGTATATGACGCAAAGAAAACACGATAAGTGATAGAAGTAGATAGAAAGTTACTGTTTCAGGCCCTTCTTTGAGTATAAGATTTTCCAAATTATTGGCCAACCTTGTCGAAAACTCCTCTTCCGTCTCACCTGACATGCAACATTTTAGTAAATAGGTAGTTATTTAGACGACAAGAGGGGTTGCTCCGATGGTCAGCACCCTCAACCTACAACCTCAGGGTTGTGGGTTCGCGTCAGCAAAGGAGCAATAGCTCCACCAAAGGGGGATCAAAGGGAAATCAAAAGGGGAGGGGAATTTTAAAAAAAAAGGTAGTTATTTAGACCGTATATGATCAGTTTACGATAAGAGATAAGGATAAATAATTACCTGGCAAATGATAGCGCCAATAATGAGGGCAGTCAGTGTGCAGAACAAATGGAGCCGGCAAATCAAATTTCTGATGTAATGCAGGAAGACTGCAAAAGAACAATATTAACAAAAAGAATACTTGAAAGAAGTAAATTAATTACCCAAAATGGAAAAGCATATTACCCAGAGAGACTGGCGGAAATGAGAGTAGATCCGTGGTATCTGTTTGAAGGTTACAAGAATGAAGATTATGTAAGCCAAAGGAAATACAACAGAACACAAACACACACACACAAAAGAAAGCAGGAGTTGAGAAATCAGATTACGATTTTGTTCGAGCAATGAATTTCTTTTTGTCTGGCCTTCCAAGAGCATTGTTGTAATACCATACCAGCTTCACCTACAGAATGAAAGGGCCAAAAGTTACTTAACATCCTGGCAATGTACATATGCAAACACCAAAAATGAACTAGAATTATATTATCCTATCAAATTCCGCAACAAGATATGGATACTCTTTCTACTGTTGAGCAAGAATTCTGAAAGGAAATATGAGCAGCAGCTAGAGAATCTAATTAAATGTTTGAAGGCAATAAACAAAACCTGAGTGTCATTAGCTTCTGATCCGCTATTTGTGAAAAAAGCTTTCGCCATTTTATTTGTAGTAAACAAATCCAGGAGCTCCTTTGCAAGATCCTGTATGTTTGAAAATAAAATCAGCTTGTGATCGAAGTAAAATGAGATTTCTCGTCTTTCTGGATAAGGCCACTACTGAGAATTTGACATACCAAAGAAGGTTTTGTGGTACGATTCCAAAACGAATGGTAAAAGGGCAACTCGATGAGTTGTTTAGTTGCAGCAGCAACAAGACGAGGCTCATTTCCCCCTACAATAATGTGTAACAAGACGTCAACGAGTTTAATATTTGGAGGAAAAAGTGGTACACAAAAATAGTGCACTAAGGATTGTAAGTACCTAAAGCTGTGCACCACAAACCAGCTAGAGCATCAAGATACTTCTTCCCATTTATGTCATAGACATAAGAACCCTATGACAAATCGCACAAACGTTAAGCACATCTTAAGTTTCTAAAGTAGACGACCAAAGAAAGACACAAATCTAACCTCGGACTTTTGTATAACTAAAGGATCCACATCAGTAGTCTGCCACCCTGCAGTGAAGGGTGCCAACATATCATGTCCTTTATATCTGAAAATGTGAACACATTTTGATTACTCACAAATTTGTATACTTGTTTGAGAGACCGTTCAGACAATATACTGAGAACAGATTTCCTCTTCTATAATCAACTACTCCCTCTATTCCAATTTATGCGGCATACATTCCATTTTTTAGTCTGTTCCAAAAAGAATGTGACCTTCATATATTCAGAAACAATATAACTTTAAAAATTCTCATGTCACACAAATGTCTAAGGTTTGTTTTAGACCACAAGTTTCAAAAGTCTTTATTTCTTTCTTTAAACCTAAGTTGCTCGGACACGGGTGCGGGTGTCCGA